GTTCTTGCATTTCTGCAGCTGTGTGTGCAGAATTCCACAGCTGGGCCACATTGTATGTACCTGATCCCCTCGCACGTACCCTTGAGTTGGTTCCCATCTTCTGCTCTGACGACATGGCAGTGAACACCCTCGAGCATGCCTCACTGTGCTTAGGTGGGATTGCTGGGCCCAAGGGTGCACTGCAGGCTGGTTTTGATTTTCTTTCTCTTAACCCTTTCTTCTCACTCTTCCTCTGTGGCGGCCCCACAGCCTACAGAGAACCCTATCTGTTTGTGACCCACTTCAACTCACTAGAAGTGATTGAGATCCAGGCACGCTCCGCTCTGGGGTAAGCACTGGCCGCAGGCTCCGGCGGGCTCAGGGTTGGGGTGGGTGTGGGGCCAGGCGCTTGTTGCTTCCTTTCCTGTCTGGCAGTGGCGCTAACCTGCACTGCTACTCTTCTCTTCTCTGCAGGACCCCTGCCCGAGCGTATTTGGAAATCCCAAACCCACGCTACCTGGGCCCTGCAATTTCCTCGGGAGCAATATACCTGGCCTCCTCATACCAGGATAAACTGAGGATCATTTGCTGCAAAGGAAACCTCGTGAAGGAGTCTGGCACTGACCACCACCGGGGTCCCTCCACCTCCCGCAGGTACCGTGCCCCTCCTCTTCTCATTCCAGGGGTCAGCACTTTCTGCAAAGCAGAAGGTAGTCTTGCTGCACTGGCTAGAGGTTCCCTGGTATTGAAGCTCAAGCCACCCATTTCTTTGAGCTCTGCAGCCTTGACATGACACAGTCACGGTACTGGCAGGAGACTGCTGTAATGCCCCTGAGCACAGGCGGGAGGAAAGGGCAGGCCTTTCTCTGGAGGGTGTCTCCGTGGCTCTGTTTGGGTGGAGCGTGCATTATGCATTCATTGCTTTAGCAGATATCCTTCCGGGCTGCTTGGGCGGTCGTGGGAGGGTTCGTGGTGTAAACCAGATGCATCCCCCCGCCCCCGTGATGTCCCAGGGGAGAGACACATGCGCTCAGGCCATTCGGGCACAGCCTAGAAGGCTGAGGCTGCCATCAGGGTCGTTTGAGCTACCGTGGAGCTCAGAGGAGGGCCCCAGCCTGGACTTAGGGGTCAGGGAAGATTTCCCGGAAGAAATGAAGTCCTATCTATACGTCCCTCTGTCTTTGTATGTCATGATTATTTTGTTGAAAACCAAGCCTCTCAGATAATAGAATGTGGTGGCGGGAAATCTGGTCCCCTCCTTGGGCTTGCTGCTGTTTATGTAGTGACTCTCCCAGACGGATTCTTACTACGGCTGCCACTGACGTTCCCTGGGATAGGGCTTTTCCCACGAGGGAGCGCTAAGCCAGGGCAAATAGAAACCAGCCTGAGAAGGGTCCTTTCCCTGGAGGAACCAGACAGGTCAGCTGGTGACAGTTTTCTGGGGAGCGGCAGTCCCGCCAGCTCCCTCTGGTGGCGGCTACTCTGCTGGCTTCCGCGGCTCCTGTGGTTACAAGGCTGCTGCTTTCAACAGGACTGCAGATCTGGGGAGAAAGCCGGGGGAGCAGGTCAAGTTAAAGTGTCACAAAGCTTGTTCTTACTGAAATTCAGCTGTTTTTCTTACATAGACGCTCTTGCAAGCCTTTGGTTAATTTCCAGAGTTCTGGGAAGTTGATTTTGACGGTGTTTGTCGGTGTTCTTGCTGCTTGTCTGAAGGAACAGGTTTCTGGAGGGCCTCGCTCTGCCCCGTCCTTTAATGCAGGCGGCCGCACACGGTGCATGCCCGCCGACCTTCACATTTCAGAGCACGTTCCGTGTCGGTGTAAGGAGTATTTCTTCCTTCTTTTTGATGCCTACACAACATTCCTTCCCATGACGTTCGGCTTATTTAACTGCTCCTTTCCCATTGGGTATTGGATTGTTTCCTGTCTGTTGCTGTAGCAAGTGACTGTGCCTATGTCATTTTGTTACTTTGCATCTTAGGAATCTACCTGGAGGGTAAATTCCGAGCAGCGGCTGTGCACTTGTGATTTTGGTAGATGTTGCTGCGTTTTCCTCCGCGGAGGCAGAGACCTGTTGTCCCTCAGCATGTGTGGAAATGGGCCTGGCCTTGTCCTGCGCGGAGGGCTAGCCGGCTCCAGGTCCACGCGGAGGCATGAGACGTGTGAAGTTCAAGCCCTTGGTCCACAGAAAGGGCTGCGAGGATTTAACCCAGGGGATATTTAATTATCTAGGATTTAATGTTTGGACTGGTTTACAACCCCACATGTCTACAGAGAGTTATGTGGACCCCCTACCATGTGCCAGACACGATGTCCGGGCTGGGTGCATAGATGATGAAGACACTTTCTAATCTGAAGAGACTTGGTTTGTAGAGGAAACACCTCTGATATCACAAAATGCTCAGGTTTTGGGAGAGTCATTAATTTAATACTCTGAGGCTATTTATTTATTTATTTTAATATATTTTATTGATTTTTTACAGAGAGGAAGGGAGAGAGATAGAGAGAGTCAGAAACATCATTGAGAGAGAAACATCGATCAGCTGCCTCCTGCACACTCCCTACTGGGTATGTGCCTGCAACTAAGGTACATGCCCTTGACCGGAATCGAACCTGGGACCCTTGAGTCCGCAGGCCGATGCTCTATCCACTGAGCCAAACCGGTTAGGGCCTCTGAGGCTATTTAATACCCTGTCTCTCTCTTTTGCTGAAATATAAGAGTCAGTCAGAAACGTTGGGTCGGTGTGGTTTTAATCCCAGGACTGGCTGAATAACCAGCGGCTCCTCACTCTTGGCCTGCCCCTGCCTCAAGAGTGGCTGCTCGAGTCCTCCCTGGGAAATTTTAGATTTTATTTAAGCGGTTTTTATTTTATTTATCTAGGCTTTATTTAAGGAGTTCCTACTCATGTCAAGAACTGTAATTAGATCAAAGTACTGTAATTAGATCTTTTCTCCATCGCCTCACTAGTTCAGGGCCAGGCACCGTCCTTCTGGGACTGTGTGGTGTCTCTGAGGGAGTTGCTTTTCCTGTAGTCAAAAGCGGCTCCAGTTTCTGTGAACACGGGCAGAAGTCATGCTGTTGCCAGGCACGTGCAAAACCAGCTGGTAGTCTTTAGTTGCCTCTTGGCTTCTACATGGCCTTTAGCTGGGGACTTCGTTAGGCAGGTTAGAAGGTAAAAGTCTGAAATTGGGGGAGAAGAGTGCTGGTTGTTGTTGCTTTTTTAAAATTGTGTTTTCAATGGAGAAATACATCATCTGTTTACAAAATAGCTGTTGGAAAATACAATGCGTACAGACCCTATAAAACAAAGCAAACTCAGTCATGAGACACTACGCACATCATGTGAAAGCAACAGTCTGGTCTCCAGGTTGTGAAAACTAGTATTTGAAAGTCACTACACAGCTTGGCAAAACTGGACAGCAGTTACATGAAACGTTTAACAAACTGAATTCCCCCCAACGTGTAGGCAACACGACAAGACTAACCCTGGGCCTGGCCCGCTCAGTCCAAATCCGCGGCTGCTCCGCAGGTCAGCCACATCGCCCTGGGCGGTTAGCAGAGCAGGAAATGTAACTCTTTGCAAGAAGCATAAAATTGACGTGGAATATCATTGGTTATTAGTGCATATGGAGATGGAAGCTTGCCCACTCGGCCTAGAATGATGGGTATTTTCTCTTGTCCCATTAATCTAAGCCGACATCCCGAATGGCCTTCCTTGAGCCATCTCTCTTCCCCTGGGCAGTAACCTCCCTCTCACTTTCTGATGGGCCCCTGTGGACACATTTTATAATTTCTCATCCGTTACAAACAGACTTAATGTAATTCTCCTGCTTGGGGTTCATTTTATTTGCCATATCTTAAAGCCACGTAACTAGAGATGAATGTAAACTTGGTTTCAAGCTGTTGAAACCCCAGTTACTCTGTTCTGTTGCTGCATGCTCAGTGCAGGGAGGTCTGGCTTTCGGAGCATTTGGTATCTGGGTCTGCACAGTTAGAGTTGCACCGGGAAGTAAGAGAATGGCATGAAACTGTGCACAACGAACCGACTGCTTATAAAATGATCTCCGCTCACCAACCTCTCTGTTTCACGGTGGAGCAGGAATTGGCAAACTTTTTCTGTGAAAGTCCAGATAGTAAATATTTCCGGCTTTGTGGGCCATATGGTCTCTGTCTCCGCTACTCAACTTGGCTGTCGTGTGGAAGAGCCATAGACAGTGCATCACCAGATGAGCATGGCTGAGTTCCAATAAAACTTTACTTATACCAACAGGCATCTCAACTTGCTCTAGTCTTCCTCCACCAGGGATCAGTATCTTTTTGCTCAGTTGCTTTCAATTCTGGGCGTTGACAAAAGAGGTTCTGGTAAAGTTAGACCAATAATTGAAGAAATAAAATCAACAAATTTGATAAAATGATAAACTGTCCCAAAGAGAAGGATTTAAGTTTCAAGGATTACAATAGGACTTTGGAAAAACCAGTGACATTCTCAGATATTTTCGAAGAGATGTCCTTACGTTTTACTGCAAAAGCTAGCATCTATGTAAAGGATGTCATGTAACATGTTAGCATATAATTTTTAAATTTTTTTTCGAGCATATAATTTTGCTGAGAAAGTTACAGCAAAATAAATCAGTATGAGATTCATACTTGGTTCATTTTTAGAATTAGCATGTAATTTAGATTTTTAAAATATCAAGGATAAAATAAATTTATTTTCCTGATTTCTCCTTTTACTTTTGAAGATAAAGCCCCAATCAATGAAAATATGTCTCCAAGTGGATTCGCTATAAAATGGTCTCATTTTAGGTGGGTTGCCTTCTCCCAGCACTAATCATGCTCCGATAATGAGAACCCAGATCTTTTTCTGCTCATGGGGGTGGGGAGGAATTGATTTGGAGGCCGCATGTCAGTTCTGTTTCTTGCTTTCGCTTCAGAGGTGGTTAGGGACATGTGTGCAGAAATCGTCATGAAATACCCAGGCAGTGCTGGGTACAGGGTTAGTTTGTTGTACAAAAAGGCCTCAGTATTTTCTTTCTTTTGGGGGGGGCTGGGAGGAGGGGGCTCAGTATTTTCACCTGATTGGTTATTAACCATCACCCTTTGGGGTCAGGGACATTTTATGAGCAGCTACACTGTTTTTATCTGCCCTGCTTGGTTTCCTACTTATGTCAGGCCTGATCCCTACACCTCTCACATCAGCATTGGGTTGCCTCCTTAGAAAGCCACCTGGAGGGAGAGGGGACTGAACACCAGCCCAGGAGGGGGACAGCAATGGCAGCCGACAGGGAGGAAACAGGCTCTCTCCAAGTGCTCCCTGCATCGAGGGCCTTTCAGCAGGCTCACCCTCTACATGCCGTGCTCCCGTGCCTCTGAGGCTCTGGAAAAGACTAGGTCGAAGGATAGAGGTTGGGGATTATGACATCAAACTGACCTGAGCTGAGTCCCAGTCGTCGTTCACTAGCTCAGGCCAGCCACCAGCCCGCCTGGTCTCCATTTCCTGTCTGTACAGTGTGGGGCCTGCCTGTTCCCAGCTTGTGCTGTTGTGGTGATCTAACGACAGTAAGAGCTGAGCACAGGGCCTGGCACAGTAGGTGCTCAGTAAACAAAAGCCTGCTCCTAGAGCGGAAGCTTGATTTTCTTTTGTCGTCATCTGTGCTCTCTTCCCTGCCCTCCCCACCCAAATCAAACAGACAAAGAGCCTGGAGAACTCCAGGTGGGACCCTTTTCTCAGGGTCAGTGGTGAGCTGGGGGTTGGGGGATTCTCACAGGAGGAGAATGCCCCTTTGGGGTGTGACTCCTCAGCTCCCCCTCCCTCTCCTGTTGCCAGCAGCCCCAACAAGCGAGGCCCGCCAACGTACAACGAGCACATCACCAAGCGTGTGGCCTCCAGCCCGGCGCCACCCGAAGGCCCCAGCCACCCGCGAGAGCCAAGCACACCCCACCGCTACCGAGAGGGGCGGACCGAGCTGCGCAGGGACAAGTCTCCTGGCCGCCCCCTGGAGCGGGAGAAGTCCCCAGGCCGCATGCTCAGCACGCGGAGGGAGCGGTCCCCTGGGAGGCTGTTTGAAGACAGCAGCAGGGGCCGGCTTCCTGTGGGAGCCGTGAGGACGCCCTTGTCCCAGGTCAACAAGGTGAGGCACCCTCCGGAGGACAGACGAGTGACCTGGGAGCTGAGGCCCCTCCGGGCCTCTGTTGTGAGAAGGAACTCAGGCTTGGTGAGCACATGAGGTTAGGAAGGAAAGGTACTTGATTTCACAAGAGCCTTCCTAAGCAAATGGGTAGTGTGTGTACGTGTGTCCCACCAATGCGATAGCTGCCACACAGGATCTTTCCCTTCCTCAGAGGCAACAGGTGCTGGCAGCTTCTAGAGAGAGTATGCATGTAAGCAGGTGTGTGTGCATTCTCCCTTCTTAGACACAGCTTACTACACAGAGTGTTCTGCACCTTACCTTCCCAAGCACACATGCACGTGTACACATACATCAGCATTGTCAGGAAGGCTGCCCTGACACTGGTCGCAGTGGCTGCCTTCTAGAAGAATTTGAATCTTCCGTCACTGAAGCTGACTTTCTAGATCGCATTTTTCTTCTAATGCCGGTCACCGTCGCACCCCTGCCGGGACGGAGAGGGGAAAAGCCATCTAAATGTTTTTTATTTTCTTTGCTCCATAAGATGGTGTGTGTGTGTGTGTGTGTGTGTGTGTGTGTGTAACAGTAGACATACTCATAGCCTTTGAGACTTTTTAGTGAATTTCAGTCCCTGATGGACTCCCAAGCTTTGAGGGTTGGCTCTGCTAGTTGGTGCCACCCTGCCCAGCACTCAGCATTAACCGCTGAGAGGGGAACCAGGTGCTGCAAACTTCCTGTTAGGATTATGCAAAGAGCACAGCAATTTCTGGCCTCTGGTGGCTAAAACCGCTCCTCCTCCTTTTGCTCGTAGGTCTGGGACCAGTCTTCAGTATAAACCTCAGTCAGAAAAGCCAACTCCTCATCGTAATCTGCAGGAAAACACCAAACACACGATGGAACGCCGCTGAAGGGGACCCCAGCGCCATGGCTCAGCCACTCGTGGCACAGCTGGACCCAGACCCACCTCGGCACGGACACCCTGCTAGGAGGTGTGGGGCTGAGGCTCCTGGGAGCTGCGGGCACCGTCCTGCGGTCATCCCCTTTGCACTTTGTTACTCTTTCCAAGCATTCATAAACTTTTGTACCTAGCTCCAGCCTGTACCAGTTCATCGGAGGAAACCAACCGGGCACTAACTACAACGTGGTTAGAACCCTAATTAATAGCTACTTTAAGATCCTAGGGTTGGTTGTTTTTTGTTTGTGTGTTTTTTCTAAGTTTTTTTCCCTTTTTTTTTTTTTTAAGACAACAGAATTCTTACTAGATTTGAATAGCAATGTATTTCCTGTTGTAGTCATTTTTAGCTAGATCACACATCAGGTCTTTGCTACTGAAACGTATCGTAGAAGAGTCCCCGCCAGTTGGCTAACTTCCTGCACTCACATAGGCCCATTCTCATCCTCGCCCTTCCTGGCAAAAGGCCCCTTTTTACCCAGGGCGACATCTTAGCCAAATGTTTACTGTTCTCATTGCCTTTTATGGCCTTGACGACTACCCCTCCCACCAGCTGAGAATGTATGGAGGTCATCCGCCTCGGCTTGGAGGCAGTGACTTGGGGCCAAGGGACCTCGAGAAGCTTTCCCTCCCCGCCCCTCAGCGTCATCTCCCCGGCCTGCTGTCCCGCTTCATGTAGCTTTGGCCAGGAAAGCATGCAATAGATTTGCTCTGAGCCCAGCACCCATGGGCCTCTGGGCCTGGGAGGGGGCTGGGGGCACCCACCTCGTGTCTGCGATGGCACGCTGTTCCCGCCCTGGGATGGAAGAGACTGTCCGGGAGTTCTGCATGGCTGTTCGCTGCATGTGCTGCCCCCCGACCCGGCTGCTCTGCAATGTCCTGGACCGTCCATAGCTCCCACAGATCGAGACCCTCTGACGACTTGCCAGCTCACTGGCCACAGAAGCTGCGGTCTGTAGCACTGAACCAACAAAAACCAAACGCTCAAGCCTTACGACCAGAGAAGGATTTCAGCAAACCGCCACCTCACACGGTCACGCTTCCTGCCGATCCACGTGGATGACTATTCACACAAACCCAGCACGGTTCTACCCCACAAAACTGTGACTTCCCAATGAGCCTTTCCCTAGGGCTAGACTAAGACCAGGAAAAGGCAGCCGCAGCTCAGCTCCCACCTCTGCCGGGGCCAGAAGTCCTCCTTAGGTGCAGTGCGGCCCACCTGTTTCTACCCTCTGGCGGCCGGTAAATTCCTGGCAACTGGTAAAGAACCAACCTAGAGGCTTTGCAGTTGGCAAGCTAACTAGCGGCCTTATTTCTGCCTTTAATCTCCCACAAGGCATCTCTCGCTTCGTATTCTCTTAGGCACGCCTCCCACCACCAAGGCAATCCTAGGTAGGCCGACAGGTAGCCCTGTTCCCACCGCAGCAGGTGAACATGACCGTGTTTCAACACAGGTGTCCACAGTTCAGACCCTTTCCAGATTGCAGCCTGGCCCGAGTCCCGGCTCCTTCCTGCTCGTCTCTTAACCTAAGTGCTTTCTCCTCTGAAACACCCAAGACCCTCCCTGTTGTCGCACCCTTGGCCAGTGTCATGCTGTCGTGTTCTATGTGTTGCTTTGAGTCTTTGGGGTCATACTGCATCCCTTCCCTCCCCCAGGGCAGACCCGACTGAACGTTTGCTGAAGTTTTGTCTCTTGGTCCACAGCATTTGGAAAGGTCACTGCAAACGAGTCTTTCAGTCTTGGCATTTCATTTAGGATCTCCATGAGAAACGGGCCTCTAGAGTCCCGGCGTGTATATCGTGTGTCCCATGTGTGAAATGCTTCCTGCTCTAGAAGTAGCTCAACAGACTGTACATATTTACAAGAAACTTTATATTCGTAAAAAAAAAAAAAAGGAAATTGAATTGGTTTCTACTTTTTTATTGTAAAAGGTGCATTTTTCAACACTTACTTTTGGTTTCAACGGTGGCAGTTGTGGACAGCCATCTTCACTGGAGGGTGGGCAGCTCCGTGTGACCACCAAGATGCCAGCAGGAAATATTGTAACACGAAATTGCGGTCAAAAGCTTCTTAGCATAAATAAGATGCTAGGTCTCCAAAAGTACAGGCTTTTTCTTCATTACCTTTTTTATTCAGAACGAGGAGGGAACAATTCAAGATCCACCTTGAGAGGAATGAACTTTGCTGTTGAACCATAATGAAATAAAGCAATGATCGGAAATGTTTGCTCTAGTGCAGTGACCTCCTCTTTTATTTCTTGAGCGAGACCATAAAAATCCTCAGTATGGCCAGTGCCGGCCCAGCCTGTCATCATGGCGTGGGCCTCCCTCCTTTCCACGAGGCTTTTTCTCTGGGCTGGTGGGAGCACACAGAGCTCTAGACTGGCGACATTCTCTTCCAAAAGCGTGACGTTGTCAATGTGGTCAGCACTTCCAGGGAACCATGGTTGTTAAGGTGGTTTTATAGGGTTGCAGGGCTGGAAGGCGTGAGCAAGCAGGCCATTTCGAAGGACTCCTCCCGGACGGATTACCCAGCTCCCCTAGGAAGCAGCCCGTCGGGACAACAGGCCACCTTAAAATTTCTCTCGTCCTTAGAAGGCCACAGGGATTTAAAGATGTAAATTTCCTTGGAGGGAGGAGTTCAGATCAAGGTAATTTCAAATGTAAATATTTCTGTTTTTAACTAGATGAAGTTTTATAGTCTACAAGGAATTTTTTTCTATGATTTTTTAAATATTTTGTTAGTAAAAATGCCTGACCCAGACAAAATCATCACTTTTGGCAATTGTTGATTTCCTCCTGGTTCCTGTTGCTGTTAGTCTTTGATTTTTATTTTCCAGTGAAGTCACCTGACCACAGTTGAAGTCTGACCTACAGGGTCGTATCTCACAAGGCCTGTGACAGGAACTGTAGTTGCAATTCTGTTCCTCTTCTCTGTTTTACTGCTGGGGATAAAAATCTGCCCAAGGTCACAGCTGCAGGAATGAAAATACTTCGGAAGATGAACCAGGGAAATGCTGAAACCTTTCTTTCCTTATAATATTAGGAAAAATCCACTAAGGACCAACCAGCCCTTCAGTTATTGTCCTGAGGGTTCTGTCGGCCACAGGATACTTCACAAGCACAAGGAAACCGCCTTTCCCTAAAGGAACGCATCAGAAAGGCTCTTTGCACCCTAAGGAGTGACTTCAAAGGAACAGCCGACCAATTACTCAGCCTCCCGGGTCTGAAGCACAAAATTAGACATCACGTTTCTGCTCTTGCAATTTAATTCTCACAAGATTAAAGAGGCGACTGCATAGCAAATTTAATAACCATGAAACTAGGATTTCGAGACTCAGGCCAAAAAGGGATGATTTGCTTAATAGGACTGAACAGCCAGCTGGTCTTCAGAATTGGGTTTGCTTTAGAAAACATTCACGCAGATTTAAGTCTAAAGGAGCGGTTCTCAACCTGTGGGTCATGACCCCTTTGGGGATCGAATGACCCTTTCACAGGGGTCGCCTAAATACATCCTGCATATCAGATATTTACATTACGATTCATAACAGTTGCAAAATTACAGTTATGAAGTATTTCTACCCAATTTTATTTAGTACTGACTGAACTTACAAATCATATCTGAGAGAAAGAAAAGCAGCCTATGGCATTCAGAAGCTGCCCTGGTACTATCAGCTTGGCCCTGGTGTTGCTATAAGCTGATCTGGCACTCACATCTAGGTCTTGGTGTTTTCCTGTTA